TTCATTTTCGATAAAATGATTTCGATATTCGAAACGTTACCAAATGAAATTCTTCTTGCAATCTTTTCCCTTTTATCATGGTCTGAAATGCTTACGTCGTTTTGGTCGTTAAATCATCGCATCAATTCTCTTGTTTGTTCAATTGTTTCATTAAATGATGGTAGACAAAATACTGGTCTTGTTATTACGGAACCAGGTTTCTATCATGAGAAATGTTATTTAACATCATTACGATTATTTAATCAATCATCATTTTCATCTTTTTGTTCTTCTATTCGACGTATACATATTGACGGAACAAGTTCGCTTGTTTGTGACATAAGTTATGAATGGCTTTTTTACCAAAATGTTCGTAAAAAAATTTCCATTTATCCTAATCTTAAATCATTTATTCTTACTCAATGTTGGGTAACCGAACCCTTAATTGAAATTTTATCGTTCCTTATTAAACATCAATTAGAGGAACTTACTCTAACATTCGATAACGAAACGTTGAAGTTTGTTCGATTTGGAAGACCAGGCTTTAAAAAGAATTGTGGTAAAGGTAATTAATCATTCTTTAAATACATTTGTCAACAGGAGAAATGAAATGGTTTCAATTTGAAGAGAAAGTTCTGTTAGTATAGAAGTTATATTTATGATAAAAGTTTCCTATTCTTCAGCATTATACCTGGTATATCTGTTCAAAATATTATCTTCTATTTCCTATTGCTTACTTGGGATCAAGATTTATCATGATTTTTAAGAGTACAAAGGAGAAAACTTGACAGAAAGTCAATCATATCACTGTTCGGCAGTTATCAAAAAATCGATGATAAAAATAAAGAGTTTACGTAAGATTATGTTCACAGAAAACATTTACTTGACTTTCTGTCTAGAAAAAAGCGGATAGAGTTGAAGAATCAGTTTTGTATCACATTGTCTCAGGCAACTGTAATAACTTTTCGAGAAAGTATAGAGAACGTTTAGAACAAGGTCCTATGCTTTGCCGATTTTCCTAGGGTAGGTCTTGCGTGTTCGTGTGAACCGGACATCTTGCTCGTTTCAAAATTGTTCTCTTGTGTGATTTAAAATAATGAATATAATTCGATCAGAAATCCGATTAGGCTGGGCTGCACCGAAGAAAAGCGATGCATGTATTATGGACCGTTGCACCAGGCCACCCATTCTTTTCTGAAGAATTAGTCCGTCCCATCACATGGTTGTTCTTTGAAAAATCGCCCGAGTCCAGCCATGTGAAATCCATCTAGTTAAATATTTTTCACAAAGTAGTTTAATTTGCTATGTTCGTGAGTTATGATCGCGAATTTTTGTTTTACTTTATAATTTTTAATAGCAGTGTACGTGGCGGGATGTAATAAAGTTTTATTCAGAGAGTGAGTAGTTACAATGGAAATAGATTTGTAGTTGTTTATTGTATGTTGTTTTTGCATATACAGTAGAAATGAATTAATATAATTGCACAGAAAAATAATACATTATGGACGAAATTAGCTGCACAGTAGAAAATGACGATGGTAATATTATTCTTTTGACTGTTTATGTTGAAACAAATTGCTTTGATCCAAGAACACCTTATTGAATGGAAAATAATTATTTTAACTTCCCATTTTTTTGGAAGGAAAATGGTCCCCTCGTGATATATAAAGTATCTCGATATTTGCAACTTTCAAATATCACGCCAGTGGCTTTGGAGTAATCACTTGAGCAAAGTCGTTTTCCCAGGAAGCACAGTTTGTCGAAAGTTTTGTGGAATCATGTTTTAAATTTTTAAGAACTGACGATGGCGCTGATACAACCGCTTTCATTAACTGAAATAAAGTGTTTTGAAAGCTAATAGATTTCTGCTATTGTGCCAATTGTTTCCAAAACTTAACTCGGCATCGAATTCAACTTATAATTTTAGTTAAAAATTTATTACCGTCGAGAACGGATAGACATCTGATAATCAATGAAAAGGAAATCTATTTCAGTGCAAACAAGCCTCAAAAAATAATGCTACGAAAGATAAGAGCTTTTTGATATAGACTGCATCGATGTAGTCGTTAATTTGTACTAAGTGGGAAACTTTTGACTTTATTTTATAACCTGTTTGAGATAGACATCATTTAATTTTATATGTTGAAAAACAGGTATTAATCTGCATTACATCTTCGGTTTCCAATACTTTACTTGCCAAAAATAAAAAAATTTTCAGTTATTGAGGAAAAAGAATCTTAGTATCGACGCATCTGCATGGACTTGATCTTAAACAATAATGACGAATCAGTAGCAGTAGTTGAAAAGTAGATAATAATAGAAACCCATAATTGGTAAAGATAAGTAGGAATAGAAATAACTTATTAAGAAGGCGTTTGATGGTGCTGTAAGGGTTTGAAAGAAAAGAAGGACAGAATTATATTGTTGAATAAAAGCTAAGTATCATAACGTGAAACAAAAGTGCCAAACAAGATTCTTCGAAGAAGGAACTAACACAGTGATAATAGGCGATGTTTGCTCAGAAATTTTGTTTTTAATCGAA